GAGCCTGTCTCAAAAAGAAGATTGCCATGAAATATTAAACATTCAAATATGCAGAAATTCACCAAAACTTCTTGTTGCTCAAAGTATGAAATTAAACTAAGCCAAAACAGGTTCATGCAAACAATTAAAAATTTCAAAGTATTAAATATCTAGTATTATGCTTAGCACCAATTCCCCAAATAAATCCCCAGGATATTTAACTGAAGTGGTAGTATTTATAAACTGTGAGGAGTTTATTTCAACATTAATTTCTCTTCTGTCATTTATACTAGTTCTAAATTATAAAATTACTGCTGGAAACGTGTCAGCATTGAAGATAAAACATTAAGTGAAAAATGAGACTATCACTCTATCACAAAAAGGGTAATTTTCTCATTTCTGCAATAAGATTCAAGCTTTTCTGTTTAGAAATAAAAAAAGCTATGTTCAATTTTACTTGATTTTTCCCCCAAATGACACAATTATAGAAATGCTCCAAAAAATTCTTTTATTCTCTAATAAAAAGCCTTAAAAATCTATAATTCTTTAAATAATGGTGTTCATTCAGTTGTTGGTAACACATAAAATATTACATTACAGATTTCTTTAAAGCTACTAAAAATATCACAATTACTGATTAACAGGGATGATCACAATTAAATATTTTTAAAAATTATATCCTTAGGGTCATATATGTAATCTTTTAGTTGTCTACCTAGTGGAAGACTTTCATTGTTAAGCTCTGTGCAAAAAATTAAGTGTCTGGCAATAACTATCTTTATACATAGTAATTATTGAAATAATTCCAGCATCTACATCATTTAGACAAATAACAGATTCACATACAGAATTGTCAAATCCTTAATTTTAACAAGTAGCAATTATAGCCTGAAATCTTTTGGTGGGGAAATTTCTAACTTCTGCTTCAGTCTAAGCTCTAATAGAAAGTGGCACATTTGTCAAAAAGTTTAATAGAGTAAACTAATTTTGTCTTATTTGAAAATACACAATTTTTTTTCAGGATCTTTCTTTACTGATACAATGTTATATAAAGCAGTTCAATAAGCTTTAGTTAAAATATTAATTCATAAGGTATTTCCTTTTGGAAAGAGTATAGCTTTTGAAGAGATACTCCAGATATTTGAGTTTGGTATGATAAAACTAAAAGAAAATGCCCCCAAATTGCTGCATAATTTATTTTTCTAGAGACATTTACATACAAGTGATGTTTTAGCAATGCATAACAAACATTTCAGAAGCTGAATTCTAAATTACCTTAAATAGGCCTGTACCATAAATGTGTTTGAGATATTTCTGGTTAGGAAATACATTCCCATAAACATCTTATATGGAGACTTCAATTCCATGAGGTCTTACGGGCTTACGATTATGCCAAGGATAACACAGCAGCTTGTCTAGTTGGAAAGACAACAATCTTGAGGGGACTTCAGGCAGCTAACTTGTCCTCCAGTCATGCAATGTGCAATGTTGCCAACCCTCAACAGTAGCAGCATCTCATTTGGGATGTGTACCAGGTTTGTGTGCCCAGGAGGGAGGCCAGAGAACAAGCCTGAGATGCAGAAGCAATTCATTTATCTCCCAGCACTAATTTCAGACATCCATACCTTCCACCAAAATATAATAACTATAAATGTTTTACTGGCCAATGTTTGCAAATATGAAATTATGTAACTAGGTAATGAGATATATTTTAGTTAAAAATCCCTCAATCCCTTTTCTAAAGATCAACACATTTCAGGAAATGTCCAGTCATGCATTTATATTCTTCTTTCCACCCCTCAAACACACAAAAAAATAAAAACCACTAAAAACCTACAATCAAACCCTTCAGTCTTGATCGTGCAAATAGAAGGTATAAAGTAGTAGGGTTCAAGCAGCCATTTTGTGATGGCTGTCTTTCACTTTCTCTCATGCTCCTATTCTACCCCATTTTTCCTTACATAAGCATTTACTTCTCTCTCATTTACAAACATCTACAGGGTAGGATAGGGAGAAACAAGGAAGCAACACTGTATCAACAAAATGGCTTGTGGGGATACCTAATGAAGCAAACAAGCTTTCTGGAAGACTAACATTGAGAAAGGGGTTTCATAAGCTGGCCTTGCAACAGAAGAGTTGACAATTGTCTGTTCTATAGTAAGGAAACCAAAAAAGAAATTTGATTACATAATTCCTCCATTCATCTCCTTTTTCTTTGGCCCACTCCTACTTAATATGAGGGAAGAATGTAAGATGTTTAAACATTAAAACAAAAAAGGGAACAGTCTGGATAGGGTGAGGAGGTAGTTGTTGTTTTTCACAGTTAAAACAATTTAATTCTTGCCAAAATATTATGTAATCCTAACATCTTTAGATTTTTTAAACTGGAAGAGTCCTTACAGACCATCTGGTCCTACTCTCATCTTACAGACATGAAAACTAAAATTTAAGTCCAACATCAAGCAGTTATATAATGAAAAACCTGAGACTTCCAATTCAGCACATTAAGTATTTGATATTTGCACATACAAAATAATTTTCCAGGGTTCAAAAAAGAAAAAGACTGCTACCTAAAACATAAAATTTCAAACTCACCTTTGTTAAACAAAATGATTCTTTGCTATTTCTATTCCTCTAAGAGCTTTGCGCCTAACAGGACAGGTGTAGGCAGGAAGGTGAAAATTAAAAGGAAAATGCAGGGGGAAAGAAATGCAAGCTAGTTAAGACAATATAATCAATAGAAATAGCTGCTAGGATTATTAGTTACTGCTGTAACCGAAGCAAAGGAATTGCTTCTGGAGGGTTCTCCTCCTGCAGAGAGAAAAACCGCAGAAGACAGGAGCAGTGTAAAAGTATTGGAATGCATGTTATATAAGACAGCTGACTACAGTAATCAGAATTCTTGCAGCATAAGGGAGCAGAATGTGCATTTTAAAACTAGAACTCCAGATGACACCAGAGCAGGTGGTTCTGAAGAGCACATTTTGAAAAAGACTAGCCTATGGACATCATGGTCTATGAAAGTTAAAAGTATTAAAAATTCTAGTTCAAGGAGTTCTGGGCCACAACTAGCCTAGCCTGATCCTTTAAATCAACCAGCCAAAGGAAATGACCCCCAGCAAAACAAATTAAGGCTGATTCTGTACCCAGCCCAGGCAGACAAGGTAGTTGCCACATAGTCACCACCAAGGGCCAAAGAACATTATACAATCACTGCCCAAGCTTTAAGATGAAGAGATCAGTTTTCTCACAAATGTCTACCATTAACCAAGGTTTTCCTTTGCTCTTAAGTGACTGATATTCTATTTTTTATGTACAGAAATATTTTGTCACCCAATGAAGAAAAGAAGTCTTTTTTAGCTTATAGCTGGAAAGAGAATTATTTTTCTATCTACCAATTCATCTGTAACTGCTGTGTGTTACAAAGGAAAGTTGGCCTTCACTGCCTAGTCTCAGTATTTTTTTTGATATGGGACTCTGAGAAAATAAAAAATGGCACAAAATTTAAATTATGGAGAACTTGTGAGAAATTGTAAGAATCTGAAAACAGGATCACTGTATCAATAAACGACAAAATTTGTTAAAAAGTCAAATTTAAAGCTGCCCAGCAAATTTAATTCTGATGTGTTTAGAGTTTCAAATCTTTACCACACAGGAACAGAGAAAATCTGTATGAAATGACATCATCTGATGTCAAAGTTTTCTCCTTTCTATGACTGGAGTTATATTTGTTTGTAAGAATTAAAATTATATACATACAATAGCACTAAGAATATATATTTGAGGTTGTTGTGACAGGGTACTTGTCTATCATTAGCTACAATGTTAGACAAAGAGCTAAGGTAATTTGCTACTGCAGTTTTTTTGACTGTGCATTCCAAACATTTCCAAGAACAAGACTGTTTGCAATGGGTTCACCAAACCTCTAATCTTTTTAGAGAATTAGTTCACTGCTATTTCAAAGCCAAGCAGTCATTTAAAAAAAAAAAAATCAACCCATGACGTTTACTTAGAACTTAAGTACAGACACGTCCAGGTTAACAGTATCATCTCTAAATTTTATAGTTCATTACTGGCCTATTTTTCAGTGGTAAATTTCATTAGACCATATAAAAACTTTGTACTCAATTTGGCACACTGATGATTTTACGTTAGAACTTGAATTACTGTATTGATAATAGGCTTTGAAAAGTGCTAACCAAAAACTGAGCTAAGCAACATAAATTGTATGGTTAATTTCTACAGGACTGAAATTTTGCAGCCTCAAAAAAGACGTAGTAGGAAGAGGCAACTTCTCAGACAATTCATTTATAACTGTCTACGCAACTAAAAGTTAACGCAACAGCTATAGTAAGACTTACTTAGGGCTAAAGTGTATTTGGAAAATGGGAGAATTTTTGAGGGACGGGAGCAAACCATTTACGTTTGGTTTCATAGTTATACGCCAACATCCATGTAGTAATTACTTATCTTTCCTGGAGTGTGTTTTAATTATAAAATCATCGGACCTACTCTGAGTTGTCGTTCCCCCTTGCCCCCCTTCCCCAGACCTCCCGGTGAAGTTCATATGCCAATACCAAGCGGCCGTGGAAAAGGGAAATAAAGAAAAAATTGCTTTTAAAATTAAGGCGATTGCAGTTTCTGGACTTAGTCCAAGTGCCGTTCAGCCTAGAAACGAAAGTAGGAAACAACAGAGGTTTACACGGGCTTGGAATGATGTCAGCCATTTTAGGCATATTATTTACACTGGGAAGGGGGTGCCAAAGTTGGCGGTGTTTTTTGCCTGTCGCTGCTGGTCGTCAGGCGAAGTCCGGCATGGAACCCGACTGGCACAAGGGACAGAACCTCGGCACAACCATCCGGTGCTGCGCTCTCAGGGCTCCGGGCCAGCCGCACGAATGCCACCGCGTCCCGCAAACGCAGCTCCTCACAAAGAGCGGCGCGGCCCCTGCACCGCGTGGGGCGCACGGACTCTGCGGGCCTCTCCCGGGCGCTGCCCCTCCCCCACCCCGGGCTCGGACCTTGCAATCCACGGCGACGGCGTCCGGAGGGATGATGAGCGCCTCCTCGCCGCTCTTGGGCTCGTCCTTCTTGGCCTCCTTCTGGGCCAGAGCCGAGTTGAACGTCACCTTCACCATGGTGAGGCCTGGGGCGCCCCGGGGCGGGCTGGAGGTGCGGGCTGTGGGCTCCCGGCTGCGGACGCAGCCCCCTCGACCGGGCTCGGGCTGCGACTCCGCGGCAGCTGACGAGAGTCGGGCGGCTGCACAGCAGCTAAAGTGACTACTGCAGCTGGGCTCTCCAGCTCCGGCGCGATGGGGCTAGGCGGGGCCTGAGGGCGGGGCTCGCTATCTCGGGGCGGGGCCTATGGGCGGGCGGGGCGGGGCCTATGGGCGGGCGGGCCGGGGACCACAGGCACGCGGGGCGGGGGAGGGGCAAAGGCTCACTCCTCTAGACTTGGAAGGGGGGGCCTGGCCCCGCCCGGAGTGGAGCCTGAAGGGATGGAGGGGCGCGCCAGGGTGAGAGCCGCTGCCTTTCTGGACCGCCTTGAATTTCCTGTTCTCAATTTGCTCTCAATGAGTTTACCTCCGGACCCACTGTTGCAGGTTGGTAGCAAAATCGCGTGAACATTCCTGGTTCGCTGCCTATAGTGGGTCAACTTCTGGTAGTGCCAGGACCACCTCTTCCTTGTCTGCTGCCCCCTCCTCGAGCCTAAAGGCCATTGAATTTTTGTGTGAGAAAAATCTCCATTTTCTCATTTAACTAGCGAGCTGACTCAGTAGAGCACAGAAATGTTTAAAGCTCTATTGTGATGACTTATCTTCCAAGGACCTCACCCAAGGGCGTTGCCTGACTCACGCTTGCCAGGTCTTCTCTCCCCACTGGGGAGGTCAGTGCCTGTGCTGCCTACTCCCACACCGATTTGGAGAAACTCAGCAGATTTGTGTTTCAAACATCACACACTGATAAAACCAAATTCCCCACTCTTGTGCAGACTTGGGAAAAACCCATATGACCCCTGAGCTGATTGTTATTCAGGTTCTCAATAAGTTCTTATTTTTTCAGCAAAGTGAAAAATCGCTCATTTAAGGATAAAGCAAAATTCTCATATTTTGAAGAAGTTTCACTTACAAGTGATAGGGTACTGGTCCACACTCTTGTGGGATTTATGACAGTGTCAACAGATGGCCCTTTGGGCAAATGATTGATCCTGTACACTTCTACCCCTCTCTATTCTGGTTTACCCAGAATTGTGGCTGTGCTATAGAAATTTCCAACTGTCAGCTGTCAGTATTTCTTGTAGAAAGTAAGTAGAACCTTAGGTTCTTGGGGCTTGGCTCTACTTAAGCAAGGAGTTAGGTATCCATAGGATGTCACGTCATACATCCCTGAGAAACAGCCAAAGATGTGTGAATTTCAGAAACATCCTGGACTGAGAGAGAAACCCAGTACAAACCTTGAGTTTTTTTGGTGTGAAGTGAGTATTTTTTTTTTTTTGGTTCCGGGGATCAAACTCCAAACCTTGCACTTGCAAAGGCAGGCACTGGAACCACAGAGCTAGATCACTGGCTACCTTGAGTCTTTTTGGGTATTTTAAAATTCCGTTCAAAAAGAATTGTTCAGTTGAGAGTGGGAAAAGGTGAGTTCCAGTTCTGGTGAGTTTTAACAGTCGCTAGCCATGTGGTTTACAACAATTTACTTCAGCTTTTTGGGTTCGTCTCACTTGTTCAGAATACCATATCAACTCTTGTTCACTCTGTGAAATGGCTTTGGATAGTAAAAAATGGAATGTAATTCCTCAAAGTTAACTACTGCCCCCAGCTCCCTAGTTTCAAACAATCTTGAGATATTACAATTGAAGACCAGGAAATTCTGGAAGCAAGATCTAGAGGGTTATAAATAATTGTACATACATAAATCTGTCGAAAGACAAAATTATAAGTTAGGTTACAGATCTTAATTAGTTTTAGTTTTATTAGAATTAGTTTTAATTTTATTAGAATTTTTTAGAATTCGTTCCATACAATAGAATAAGTGTTCCAATAAGCCTAGCAGAGAAGATAGGTTTTATAGATGAAAAAAAAGAAGAAAGAAAGAAATGAAAGGCTGAAGAAAGCAGAAACAACAACAAAAAAAGTGGATTGGTTGTGTCAGAGTTATTTTCCTTGCAGGGGCAAAGAGAACAAGAGAAAAATAACTAATTGGTTGACATCAGGTTTACTTCAGGTTACCTTTTTGTGTAAAGATTAAGGTAGAGGGAACTTCACTATCATGCCAATTGATACAAGCCTGTTTGGAAAGTTTGACAGTTATCTCTACAATCCTGATTTCTCGGGGACAAATGTATAGCTTCTTTACAGCCTGAGGATGTGGAATTTTAGCAAGAGTGACTCCATTTTTATTTTTAGTCTGCTCTATTGGGCCTAGTGCAGGGGTTTAGTACAAAACAAGGTGTTCCTATAATTTTCACTTTCTAATTCTTTCTCTGTTAGGATGAAATGTTAGAAAAAGAAGGCATTTGCAGTAGGTAAGAGAAAAACAAAAAAAGAAAAAGAAAATTCTTACTGAATACCATTAAACAGATTAGGAAACTGAGACGAAGGAAAAATAAATGATGTTTACAGAACCAGAAATCCTCCTGTGCTGCAGAATTTCTGTTTTAAAAGACTTGAGAATAAAAGACCTTTCATTATTTTGTGCACCAGCAGTAAGCAACAGTGTAAAATCAGTTGGCAAACAGTCTGGGAATAATCTCCTGGGTTTTTTTCTCCTTTTTATCTGGTTTGTCTACAGAACTGTGTGGTGCACAACAGCAGGGATAATAAAGAAGCTGGATTGAGACCAAGCATAGCAAAGCCAGTCTTGTGATTTATAAAAGATTGCCCATTGACCCTGGAAACTAGGAGTAGGGGTGGAGGAAAGTCCATGACTCAACAAAAAGTTAAAAACATAATCATAAGTTACCATTAACTAACTACTAAATGTAAACACAGTGTTAGAAGAACTTTGTTTTCCTTTTTCTTGTGGATTTTGAGAGCCAAAAAGAATCTCCTTTTAAGAGTGACACTAGCTTTACACTTCACTAGGATCCAACTTTGTTTTTCTGCTTAACTGGGAGGAAGACAAAAATAGAATTGGGAACTAAATTCTAGAATCATAGTTCATTTAGATTTCTGTGATGTACGTGGACAGGGATTTATTTTTTATTTTTTATTTTTTTAGCTTCTTCACAGTTCCATTCCCTCTGTTCTTTCTCAAGGAAGCAGTTCCTTCTTCATCAGAGAAACTTATTGAGGTTTAGCAGAATGATTGGAAAACACTTTTGCAAATATAGGGTCTTTGGTGAAACAACATCACTGAATATGCCCTTTGAAATGTGCTTTTGGCATAGCCCCTCAGCAACTCAATGTGTGGCTTTAGCTAAAGGCATCTTGTGGCTTTGTCTCAACTTTTATAAGGGAAATGTTTCTTCTATTTGAGAGAAGAAGGCTTTGACTTGCCTCTTCAGAGACTTCAGTGCTGCTTTTTTTTCTTTTCTTCATATCTTGAGGGGTCCTGTACTGCTTCTAAATTTCTTACCTCCAAAGTTAGTATTTATTATTCATTGCCTAACTTGATATCATTTATGCTTTTTAATTATTTTTATCTTATATCAGTTATTTTTAATTTAAAAATTTTTATTTTCCTTGATGAACCAACTACATGATTTTTTTCCTCTGTAGAATCTTGGTCTATAATATCCCAAACTCTTTTGGAATTGTTCTAATAATGGATGCAGATCCCCTTTGATTCAGTTAATTTTGGCATTGGGAACTTTTGTTTTGTTTTGCTTGATTGTGAAAAGACTGAACCTGTTCCATAATGGATGCTTTAGTTTGCTAGTTGTCATCTCTTGGTTTCTCCCTCCAGAGCAGGCCTTTCTAAGTGTATCTGTGTTCTGAATAAGTCTCTTTGCATGTAAAAGAGGAGAAAACAAAAAGAAAGGAAAGATGAGAAACACAAACCAAAAAGGAGAGTAAAATCTAAAGGATGAGAAGATAGGCCACATACTAAAAAAAAAAAAAATGCCAATGATATCTGATAAAGGAATTGTATCCAGAATTTAGAAAGAGCTTTTTTTTTTCTTTTTGCAGTACTGGGGATCAATCCCAGGGTCATGTACTACTGAGCTACATCAACAGCCCTTTTATTTTTTATTTTGAAACAGGATCTTGCTAGGTGGCCTGGGTGGTACTTGAGAAATTTCAGTCCTACCTCAGCCTCACTCAGTGCTGGGATTACAGGCACATGCACCCACCAGGCTTACAAAGAACTTTTAACACTCAACTATAGAAAAACAAACCACCCAATTAAAAACTGGGCAAACAATCTGAACAGAGACCTTACCAAACATGGTATTCAGTACAGATGGCAAATAAGCATATGAAAGACATTTCACATCAAATATCACTAGAGAATCACATATTAAAGCAGTAGTCTCTGCACACCTATTCAAGTGGCCAATATTCAAAACACTGATGATACCAAATACTGACTAGTATGCAGAACAACGGGAACTCTCATTTATTGTCGGTAGAAATGGAAAATGGTTGTCACAGATATTTTGGCAATTTCTTATAAAACTAAACATAACCTTACCATACAATCTAACAATCATGCTCCTTGATATTTACTCCAAGGATTTGAAAAATTATGTCCACAAAAAAAAAACCCGCATGTACATCTGTATAGCTGTTTTGTTCATACTTGCCAAAATTTGGAAGCAGTCAAAGTATCCTTTAATAGATGAACAATGTTATATCTATGAATGGACTGTTATTCAGCACTAAAAAGAAATGATTCATCAAGATGTGGAAACATAAATGCCTATCATTAAGTGAAAGATAACAATTTGAAAGCACTACATACTGCATGAGTCCAACTGTGTGACATTCTGGAAAAGGCAAAACTATGGAGATATTAAAAAATCAGAGGTATCCAGAGTTTGGGAACTGGGAAGAATGAATAGGTGTGCACACAGGATTTTTAGGACAATGAAACCACTCTCTATGATCCTACAGTGGTGGATGTATATTATTACACATTTAATAATATCCATACAACATACAACACTAAGAATGAATCCTAAAATAAACTTTAGGCTTTGGGTGATAATGATATGTCAATGTGGGTTTATGGATTGTAACAAGTGTATGAGTCTGGGATAGGATGTTGATAGTGGGGGAAGTTATATGTATGTAGGGACAAGAATACATGGAAACTCACTGTGCTTTCTTGCTCAGTTTTGCTGTAAAACTAAGATTTCTCTAGA